TACTACTACTACTACTACTACTCCGACTACGACTACGACTACGAGTACGGCTACTACGATTGCAATTGCGACCACTACTTCTACTACTACTACCACTACTACTACTAATAGTACTACCACTACTACTACTACTACTACTACTACTACTACTACTACTACTACTATTATTACTACTACTACTACTACTACTACTACCACTACTCCCGAAACTACTACTAGCACTACGACCACCACGACCACTACGACTGCGATTACATCTACGACTACTACTACAACTACTGATACGTCTACATCTACTACGACCACTACTAACTTTACTACGACTACTACTACTACTACTACTACTACTACTACTACTACTACCACCACCACCACCATTACTATTACTACTACTACGACGACCACTACTACTTGTTCTACCACTGTTAGGGCTACTACGAATACTACGACTACGACTACTGTTACTACTACTACGACCACGGCTACTACTACTACTACTACTACTACTACTACTACTATTACTACTACTACTTACTAACTACTACTACTACTACTACTACTACTACTACTACTACTACTACTACTACTACTACTACTACGACGACGACGACGACTACTACTACTACTACTACTACTACTACTGCTGCTACTACTACTACTACTACTATTGCTGCTACTACTACTGCTACTGCTGCTAGTTTTGCCCCTCTGCTACAGCTACGATTGCTACGACTATTAGTGCTACGGCCACTATTACGACTACGACTACGACTACGACTATTATTATTACGACTACGACTACTATTCCTACTACTACTACTACTACTACTACTACTACTACTACTACTACTACTACACTACTACTACTACTTTTACGACTACTACCACTACCACCAGTACTACGACTACTAGTACTACTACTACTGCTACCACTACTATCACGACCACGACTACTCTTACCACTACTACAACTACTACTACTACTACGACTACTACTACTACTACTGCTACTACCTCTACTACTACTACTACGACTGCTACTACTACTACTACTACTACTACTACTACTACTACTACTATTACTACTACTACTACTACTACTACTACTACTACTACTACTACTACTACTGGCACTACTCCTAACTGCTACTGCCACTACCCCTGTTATTACTACTACTACTACTGCGGCTACTGCTACTACTACTACTACTATCTCTACTACTACTACTACTACTACGACTACGACTACGACTACGACTACCACAAGTATTACGACTACTCCTACTACGATTGCTTTCACTAATTACGATTACCACCACGACCTCCATTGTTTACCTATTCTGTTACCACTACCACTACGACTACTACTACTACTACTACTACTACTACTACTACTACTACTACTACTACTTCTACTACTACTACTGCTGCTACTGCTACTGCTACTGCTACTACTACTTTTACTATTACGTTTATTATTACTACAACGACGACTACTACTACTACTACTACTACTACTACTACTACTACTACCACTACTACTACTACTACTACTACTACTACGACCACTGTCACTACTATTTTTACGACTAATACTACTACTACTACCACCACTACAACTGCGACGAGTACGACAGCTACCACCACGATTACTAACGCTACGAATGTTACGACTACGACTACTATTATTGCTACTATTACTGCCACTACTAGCACTGCTTTTACTACTACTACTACTACTACTACGACTTGCCCTGCTTTCGTTATCACGTCTGCTGCCACGACTAATTTTATTATTACTTCTACTACAACTACTACTACTCCTACTACTACTATTACTACCACCACTACTACAGTTACCACCACTACTGCTACTACTACTACTACGACTTCGACTGTTGCTACGGCGACCACGACTATTGTTACGACTCTTGCTGCGATTCCTATGTTCATCAGTACTACTACGACGCTTACTATTGCTTCTTCATTTGCGACAAGTGTTAGTAGTAGTACTACTACTACTACTGCTACTACTACTACCACCACTACTACTTACCCGTTACGAAAGTTATTCATCTTGAGCACTGACGACTAGGGCGTCTCCGAGTGGCCCCCCCGTCCCCCCGTAGACTCCTAGCACGGCAGTCTTCGGCCTGGCTTGGCGGGAGAGATTTCTGGGGTTCTCCCTGGTAGCATTAATAGTATATAACCAATTCAGGATAAAATCTCTCCCCCGTAAATTCACAAGAGAGAAATCACTCCCGGTCACTTCCAGGCAACTCTGAATCTTTCCCCGTGTGAAACCACAAGGAAGAATCACTCCCATGCCACTTCTCACCACAGCGCCCACACATGTCAATTTTAGCCTAGATGAATTAACTTTTCAACGGGGAGGGACCCGCGACTTTTCACACGTCAATGTCAGTCAATGTCACTGAGGAACCCAATTCGAATCCGGACCGGACCCACCATCGCGCTCCGATAGACGCGTTCGCCATCATCATTTGCCGCCGTGATTTCGCCGCGACGAACTTCCTTGCGCATCAGAGTTCGTCCCCGTTGTCGGCCCCGCCTTTGGTCGGTGCCGACCGTCTGTCGTTTGCATCGCGGCCTGAGGACGGATGCGGATTTCGCCAAAGGGCTCTGCTGTCAAGGGGTAGCGTTGTCTCACCTCTCGTAGAAGCGCAATGTTGACATACCGCTTACCCGTTACGAAAGTTATTCATCTTGAGCACTGACGACCAGGGCGTCTCCGAGTGGCCCCCCTTCCCCCCGTAGACTCCTAGCACGGCAGTATTCGGCATGGCTTGGCGGGAAAGATTTCCGGGGTTCTCCCTGGTAGCATTAATAGTATATAGCCAATTCAGGGTAAATCTCCCCCCCGTAAATTCATAAGGGAGTAATCACTCCCGGTCGCTTCCAGGCAACTCTGAATCTCGCCCCGTATGAAACCACAAGGAAGAATCACTCCCATACCACTTCTCACCACGGCGCCCACACATGTCAATTTTAGCCAAGGTGAATTAACTTTCGTAACGGGGATGAGGACCCACGACTTTTTCACACGTCGATGTCAGCCAATGTCATGAGGAACCAAATTCGAAATCCGAGCGGGACCCAGCATCGCGCTCGATAGACACGTCGCCAGCATCATTGCCGCCGCTGCTTCGCTGCGACGACTTACTGCGCATCAGAATTGTCCCGATTTCGAGCCCCGCCTTGGGCGGGGCCGACCGTCTGTTGTTTGCGTGCGCGCCTGG